TGTCACTGTCACCCTTGGCAACAACCAGGCCAAATCCTTCGTCGATTCTGTGGTGCCTGATCTTCCATTTTCCTTTCCCTTGCGGATGCCCCGTAGCCTTCGCAAGGCCCCCCGGTTCCATGACCAGTGGACTTTCGACGTCATGGAAACCATGTATGACATTATTTTCGGCACTGCCTACTCACATAAATTTGCTCATTCTGGCCCCGATTGGGTCCACAACGACCTCATCCTCTACACCAAGGACGATCAAGGGTATCGTATTCCGTTGTTGGGMAAATCGGACCCTACACCTCCTCCCCCTGTTAATGTCTCCATTCTGACACCTACTCACTTTAACCACATTCTTCGCCAGCCGGATGCCGAACTTTACATTGTCGACATCACAGACCTTCTTACCTGCAACTCCATGCATCAGGACATGGAGTTGGTCGAACTCGATCCACCACCCCCCGAGCCGCCAGATCCTCCTGATTCGTCGGCTCCTTCCATTTCCACGTGCTCATCGCACTTTGTCGCGTCCTTTGACAGGGAGACACCATCCGCACCTATCCCTACGCGGACTCCTTCCACTCCTGCTTCAGACGCTGCTGCTGCTAAGGAATTTGATGACCTCCTAGCGACATTGCAGCCAAGCGTCGCTACTCTCCTTCGCGAGTATCGTGATGTCTTTCCTTCATCTGTCTCCTATAGTAGCATTCCTCCTATGCGTGACATCGAGCACCGCATCCAGCTCCAACCGAACTACCGTGTCCAGCATCGAGCCCCATACCACCTCTCGGTCCCCGAAGCCCAGGAACTTAAACGCCAGATCGACGAGCTGCTTCGTCAGGGCTTCATTAAACCGAGCACGTCACCGTGGAGCGCACCAGTCCTCTYCGATCGAAAGAAGGACGGCGCCCTCCGCCTCTGTCTCGATTACCGCGGCCTCAACCAGTATACGGTCAGAAACASTTATCCCATGCCCCGCGCAGATGACCTGTTCGACCGCCTCGCTGGCCACCACTTTTTCACGAAGATTGATCTTCGCAGCGGATACCACCAGATCCGCGTGGCCAAGGAGGACCAGCACAAGACCGCGTTTCGCTCTCGATTTGGACACTACGAGTTCACTGTCATGCCGTTCGGCCTATCACCAGATCCGCGTGGCCAAGGAGGACCAGCACAAGACCGCGTTTCGCTCTCGATTTGGACACTACGAGTTCACTGTCATGCCGTTCGGCCTCCGTAACGGTCCTGCCACCTTCCAAATGGCTATGAACACGATGTTCCAGGACCTTCTCGAGGACTTTGTTCTAGTTTACATTGATGATATCCTGATCTACAATCGTACCTTGGAGCATATGACCCACCTCCGCACTGTCCTCCAGCGATTACGCGACCACGGATTATATGCGAAGCTCTCCAAATGCACCTTCGCTCAATCCAAGGTCGACTTTCTAGGACATCAGGTCTCCGAGCATGGACTCCACATGGACGACTCGAAGATCCACGCTATCGTCGATTGGCCTACACCTACTTCTCTTCCTGCGCTACGTAGTTTCTTGGGGTTGACCAACTACTATGGTCATTTTCTTAAAAACTACGCGCAGTACTCTTCACAGCTGACTCCTCTGACCCGCGGACGTCTACCCTTCCATTGGACCCCGGTTCATGAGGATGCCTTTCGCTCTCTGAAGCGACTTGTCACGTCAGCCCCTATCCTACACCTACCCGACTACTCCCGCCCATTCATCGTCACCACCGACGCGTCCGACTTTGCCATAGGAGTTGTCCTCTCCCAGATTTACCCAGCCCCTTCTACTTCTCCCGACCCCACAGAGTCTCGTCTCCCTCGCATTCCTCGCTTTCCCCCCCCACCCCCAGCGACTGCGGCTCGACTTGCACCTATCGAGCCCACCCCCTCAGGGGTTCCACCTCCCTACACCCCTGACGTCGCTGATGACGACACAGTCGAGTCTCGCGATGGAGAGTGCCCGATTGCTTATCTATCTCGACAGCTACTTCCTGCTGAGCGTAACTACACTGCTGAGGAGCGTGAGGTCCTGGTTTACGCTGTTAAGAAGTGGCGTCATCACTTACACGGTCACACATTCACCGTCCTGACGGACAACTCTGTCCTCGCCGCTTTCCAGACGAAGCCGAAGCTTACCCCTCGCCAAGCTCGTTGGTGGCGTGATCTCACAGAGTTCGACTTTACCATCAAGAAGATTACTGGGGAAAGCAATCGCGTAGCTGATGCCTTATCTCGCCGCCCCGATCTTCAGTGCGATGATCGCCAGCTCTCTGCCATTTCATTCCCCGTCATCCACCCCGCTTTCCTAGATGAGTATCAGTCGGCATACCCCCAGTGCTCCGAGTTTCAGCCCATCTACGCTGACTTACAGGCCGGCAAGACTGTCCCTAACTTCCAGCTCGACCCCTCTGGACTCCTATATTGGCTTGGTCGCCAAGGTAACCGTACTCCCCGCTTATGTGTCCCATCTCTCGGCCAGCTCCGTGTTCGAGCTGTCGCTGAGTGTCACGATCAGCGTGCTGCCAGTCATCTCGGTATCCTCAAGACCCTTGACCGACTCTACCGCCATTACTACTAGGAGCACCGCCGTCCTTTCACGACAGAGTACGTTCGCACCTGCAGGACCTGCCAGGAGGCCAGCATTCCCAACCACCCTCCCTACGGCCTTCTTCA